CCCAAAAGTGAACGAATTTTTCAATTCGGTCCACTAGTTTTGGAGCCTATTCAATGCAAACAAACAAATGAATCATCTTTATAATTTTAATATTGTCTTAATTGGGAAAACATGATTGTTTGCTATTGGACAAAAATTAAAAAAATCAAAAACACCAAAAGGAAAATGTGAGAATGGGTTAAAGGATCACAACCTACAAAGAATGCATGTTTGGGCAAAATATAATTCTTACAGTAAACCTGGCTAACATAATAACTTTTATAAAATGTTATATTAAATTTCGCAAGCCATCAATCTGTGTCGCAGTTTCCAGCTATATTTCGTATTTTACTTTCTAACCACGTTGAATGACAATTCATAATTTTAACAATAATCTCTTTACCAATTTGAACTTTAACGTTACAGAAATAAAAGTTATAATTGTAAATATGTTAAGTATTTTACTGTTATATTACCATAATTGATGTTAAAGAACATAACAAATTAAGAAATAGATATCGGTGGCTCAGGGATTAAGCACTTGACTTGCAATCAGCAGGTCTCGGGTTCGAATCATGTATCAATGTGTTTAACGATTTTCGATTTACATATGTACAATTACCCAACGTTATAACGGCGAAGGAAACATCGTGATGCAATCTGTACATATCTGCGAACAAATTCAAAGATGTGTGTGAAGTCAACTAGACCAGCGTGGTTGACTATGGTCTAGTCACCTCCAACTTAGGGTAGGCTTTGAGAACCTCAGTGGGGACGTAAAGTGAGCTGATGATGACATCGTTACTATTTATGAAAATGTCGTGAGTTTTAATATACGAGCTAAAAGTATATTATCTTTTAATTCTTTTGAAAAAAAAAGTGTTTTATGAAAAAAAAATACAGTCATACAAATAACAAGTTAAGATTATTTATACCTAAGTAACTAAGTAAAGGTCAGGTCGTCATGTTTTGCTTATATCAACTTGGTTGAGCCAAAGCTAGATTAAATTTGATAGCGGTGCTCGTCTTACCCGACCCTTGTGCTTTATGAAGAACATTAGAGGTTTTTTTTATATCATCTGTAGTAAGTCACAAGCATAACTGAGAGACTCACTTGACCTCTTTCCATAATGTCTTTTAAGATGAGTACTGGCTGAATAAACATACACCTTTATGAACTTAAAACACGCAGACACGTGTGACCTCACGTAAATTATTTCTAGGTTAAGATTATATATATTCACAGATGAAAAATGTAATATGAATTTTTAAAAACATTAACAAAAAATATATTATTATGTCATGTATTTTAATGAATTATTTTTTATCATTTTACTTAAATTGGATTAAAATAAAACGTTTTTTTTTCATAAATCTTCTTTTTTCGTATTCCTCTGATTATATTCTTTGTTCCACTATTCATTTGTTAGAATAGGGCTGCCAATTCTTATTGTTGGGGAGAAGTTTAGTGAGTATAAATCAAGGGCACAATGGAGCGATACAATAAGCCCTCGACGGCTGAGTTAGGCGATGTCCAAATGTTACACTAGATTAACTCACTTTACTAAACTTCTGACAGATACATGCATGACTGCTGCTAATTTATTAAAACGATTGGCCTTTCTTTGGACAATCTTCTGTTTTTATATACATCTGAATAATAGACAAGTTGCATTCGTAATTCTTATATCTTTTAGGGTTTCCTGTGTTTATAGTTTTTTTCCCTTTAGGGATTTAATCTAATCAATCTTTGTTCAAAATATCTTCGTCAGTTACAAAAAAATAATGAGAAAAACATTTGAAATTAATAAAATGAAAAACTTTAAAACCTTGCCTTCGTTTCTCGTGACAATTGTCACATCAAAATTTTAACACACGTTCGAAACGTAGCGACATAAATGTTTTACAATCTACGTTAAACGCGAAAAGTATGTGATACGAAAATCCAGATTAACATGAAACGAAATAGTTAAAAAAGTCTGTTAAAACGACACGCTTTCTCATATTGCTAAAATAGAACCTTTTAGACATTTTTAGTTAGAATCCTTTGGCGCGAATGGCGCGCTTTCGTTACCAAGTCAAGTATCATAATGATTAGTAAGGGGACATAAACGTTGATATTTTAATAAAGCTAGTGTTGCGCCGATAAACCGGCACAGTGTAGGTTTTTCTTCCTAACGCTACCTAGCCTTATCCATTCTACCTGTACTGGTACCTGCTTGGACTCAATAAATTATAACATAACTAAGTTGTAACTAAAGGTGTTATAAAATTGTCTAATTGATGTACTAAGGTCATCTTAATCATGTTGAGACTTAAGTAATGTATTAGCGTAATAATTTTAATGTGTTCTCTTTACAGAGCATTGCAATTACTCGAGCTGTCTGGCGCGTTATAAACGGTCTGTACACGTAGGAAGCGGTAACGACGACGAGCTTCACACCGTGAAATTGAGTTTAATGATAAATGTTGCATCGTTAATGGGAAATAAATGTTATTTTGTTGAAGTTTCATTCTTTTATTCTTGATTTGAATACAGATCTGTCAGTTACATGTTTACATTTGGTGGTCAACCATTGGCTGAAATTCGAATATGATTCGTAATTAAAGATTTTGTTTTTTTTTATTATTTAAATAGCTGTATTTCTTTTCCTAAACTCTCCATATTAACTTTAATTAAGTTAGATATTACGTTCATCACACGTTAACTGAAAAAAACTGTGCAAAGTTTTCGATTTACATATTAATAAAATTTTGAACTTGATAAAATTATTATTTAATTTTCTAATAGAGTTTTTTATGATCAATTTAGAAAGCTAGAGTTAATTAAAGAGTTTGATTTTTGCTATTAATACAGGTCTTAAGTACATTGGTCCATGAATACCAAAATGAGTAAAACAATATTAAATTTAAAATTCATTTCATAAATGCAAATATGAATGGATGTGAGATTCATTAAACTTTTTCATTTTAATATTAATTGGGGATTTAAAGCAATTTAAAGCTATATGTGAATCGACTTCATTATAATTTGAGTAACTTTTCAATATAACGAAGATAATTTTGACATATGAGTGCGTGCAAGAGAAATATTATGAAGGATTAAATCTTGGCTAAAAAAAGATACGAGAAATAAATACAGAACACATACCTTTGTTAAAAACTTTTATTTTTTACATCTACTATTTCACAAATGTGTTAGACATATGTTAAAAAAAAGACATTTTATCTCACCTTTTTCTATACGAATTTATCTTAGAAATTTCAAGTTAGCGATACAAAGTACTAGGAATGCAGAAAGCCAAATTAGGCGAGAGAATAATTCCATATAACATTAAAGGAGCACGTGCGTAGTTTTGTTGTGTAGCCGAGCAATGCGGTGTCGCTAGTGTTGCTAGCTACAGATGTTCCGCGCCACCGCACTGCGGCGCAACGTTCCACACATAAAAACTTTTTTATAACAACAAACTTTTTTCAAGTCCCCTTCGCAACGGGAAACTCCACGAAAAAAATAACAAAAATTCCCGTACAACGAATTAGTAAGTGTGAAATATAACCGACTTATTACGTTTCCGCTGAACGAATCTTAAAATTGTAACATCGCTTCTTGTACTTTTGAAGTGCATGCTTATGCTATATGAATCAAACAGGATTTGGGTATAACAGAGTTTCATCTATAAAGTTTCACACACACACACACGCACACACATGCACGCACATATACATACTAGTACAATTTGCATTGATTGCCAAATTTGAATAGAACATGAATCTCCTATCGCTTCATTAAACAACCTATACATAAATAGTCAAATCGAAAAGGCTCTTATAATATCATATGGTACCTTATTTTCATACTCTAATGTAAAAATATATATTTGGATTCACCACTTGGGATTTGCATAACGAGACGAAATTATCTACCTGAATAAATTTAATTATCACCACTAATTGAATACCGAATTATTTTTAACGACGTTAATTGTTCGTCATTGTTTCGAGAAATTCGCTTCTCTCTACAATAAAGCTTGAACTCATCGCTTCCTTGTTTTAAACAAAAACCGAGTTTTAAATTTCCCGCATTAATTTGAATTCATATTACGAAAGCTCTTAAATACGATTAATTTAATAATTGGTGTGAATAAACATCGCTTTAGCTGCTTTTCTTGCTGTATAAAATCTACTTAAGTCGGTAGATACTTGACCTAAATAAACAAGAACCTGGATTTGAGAATCCATTTGTTTTAAGCGTTTACAGAAATTTGTTTTATTTTAATTCGAAAGAGTTCCAACAGTTTAAATAGTTTAGCTAGAGAACTGAACATGATAAACGAACAATTTTATTTATAATACATTGTGTTGTTTTAAATATTAAAGTCAAAAAAAAATTAGTTGACAAACTAAGGAAGGCCATTTTTTGTACCACTAATATATTATATGTTCTTATGTTGTAAATAAAATAATCAGATACACTCCTTTTCACATTCAATATCCTGAGAATTTAAACAAAAAAGAAAACTTACATTTACAACCGTGGGTTTCTGTGATAAGTTTAAAACATATTATATCTGTTTCGTCAAAGATGAAAGGGATGACGATATGATTTATACAGTGATTTTGGTCTCAAAAACCCACGGTAAATTCTACACAACTTACAATTTTACAATTTCCATAGAAACAAATAATCCGAACAATTTAAATAGCGAGCTAGATAAAGCACGATGTATGGCAACGTGGGTGTTTAATAAAGTCTGTGTAATGTGCACTGACCGCTCCAGATGGCTCTGAATGACTGCAATACCTCGATTTAATTTAAGAATAAGCGCCAAATGACCGGGCCTTTATCAGTAATTACTGTAGCGTCCTACGCGTTCCTGCTTCATTGCATACCCAACATGTCCGAGAAACGCCGTACAATGTAATATATAGTTGAACTAGTATAGTTATAGTAATAGAGAATAAAGATGTACGGGAAAGTAAAATCTGTGCCGACCTTTTGTAGGATAAAGGGCAGATGATGAGTAATGAAAAGAAAATATCTAATTTAATTTCTAAACGAAAATAAAATGACTTTTAACTAATTAAAAACTTCTTAACTAACGTAAAAGTCCGCTCTATGGAATCAAGTTTTATAACTAATTTTTAATATCATTAGAAAATGATTTTTTGCGTAAAAACTTATCTAGCTAAATGATTAATTTCGTATATTTTCTATACCTTGATGGTATAGAAAATATTTTAGCTATTTCTATACCTTTTCTATTATGAATGGTTAATCAATACTTTTGTTACGTTTTATATTACTAGCTGTCGCCCGCGACTCCGTCCGCGCGGAGTAAAAAAAATCCTAATTGGTAGCCTATGTTCTACATCTGTGCCAAATTTGATAAGATCCGTTGCGCCGTTCCGGAGATACCTTCAAACAAACATCCATCCATCCATCTAAACTTTCGCATTTATAATTAGGAAAAGTAAGATTGAGCTGTAAATCCAACCCATTAGTCTCCTTTCTTCAACTCTATTTGTTGGCTGTTGTCGATTGTCTTTTGTTTATTATTTCAAAACGTGTTGTGAAATTGATTTGACGTCGTTATACAACAGCAATAGCTTTTCTTGCTTCAACTTTTTGATTGATGCATTAGGGAACAAACGCAATAAAGTGGTTAGGGGACTTTGACATCTTGCGAGAGCGGCGCGTGACCTGCCTGCTAACATGTAAATTACTTCTAACGGGAGAATACATATTTCGGTATTAATCGATTTTTTTTCTTCCACTGCAAAAATATATTGTCATTCCACTCTTCATGTCTCAGTCTCCATTAAAACGAAAGAGATAACTATTTGTTTTAGGAGTTACGTCATTGGTAACTGTACAGAGTATGATCAAAAATCTTTCTTCTTCCTTCCGAAATGTAAGGTCAGATTATTTTATCATCAGAGATCTACATTTCTTTAGTACAATAACATAAGTTTTAGTAACAGATTTTTAAACATAAATTTTATCGGCTTTCGTTAACAGAATCTTTTCCACGATATATTCAAGACTCAAATAACAAAACAAAAAATTAAACGTAACAATATCAGAGTCGCACTTTTCAATTTGAAAATGCTATTGTCACAGCCATTGTCAGTATAGTCGCGTTATCGAGTGCACACACTGAAGCTATTATAAAAAGCTCTAACTATCAATACAAAACGACGCAAGTTCATCTTTCTATTTTACTCGCCAACAATTTTGTATGAGTTTTGTCCCAGTACTAGCATATTGTTTGTAACATTCAAGTATGGTCTGTAACGTAACTGGCTAATCGCTTTGCGAGTGTAAGAAGGTAATTTAATCTTACTAATATCATAAATGCGTAATTTTGGATGGATGGATGTCCGTTTGAAGGTATCTCGTGAACGGCTGCATGGATCTTGATGAAATTTGGCATACATATAGAACATAGCCTGGAAGAATACATAGGGTACTTATTAAGTTTATTTCAATTCCGCGTGGACGGAATCGCAGGCGACGGCTAGTAATGTAAGAAGATGATGGTTAAGATATTGTTTTTAATAAATTAACGATGTAGTTGAAAACCTTTATCGCTTTTGATAATCCACCAACGAGACCTTTAGCTCTATTTGATAATAATCCTGGCATATATAATTAAGCTTGTATCTATTAGATGACATTAATGCATGTTGGTATAATTTATGATTATCGTCAATTGAATCTTGTATTTAATATTCCCTTTGGTTACTTAGTTACTACTATTAGCTACTATTATTAAGCTCACACAATCTTACTATCTTACTTATAATATATATGCAAATGCTTGGATGAATCAATGGATGTTTGTTTGTTTAAAATTATCTAGAACAGCTGCATGGATCTCGCTGAAATTTGGCATAGATGTAGAACATAGTCTGGAGGAACACGTAGGTTACTTATTAATTTTTCCGCATGGATGAGATCGCGGGCCACTGCTAGCATGTACATAAAATCCTTTTCTTACAGTGGTAAAATAACTGCTTTTCAAAAACTTTAAAATATGCGCAAATTACTTGTATTATTGCAATTTGTTCTATAATCGTTGAAAACATCGGTACATCTGTACCTAAAATTGTCTGGCATTGTTCTTAAGTAGATTTGATTCAACAGACAATTGGATCATTGTAAATCTTATGGCACAAAAAAACAAATTCGATCAGTTTCAAATACAGAGGCCGATGCGAAATCCCTTTCTATTTAATCCAACGATTTTGAACGCCCCGAATTGTGTCGGGTATTGTGACAGTTTTCAACTCAATTATATTTTAAACAAACAGCTTTGTTGTGATAATTTATTTTTTACAGCAACAATACAAAACGAATTCATTTTAATGTTAATTACTCAATTAACATTCATTACACGTTAACAAAAAGTCGTTAAAATGCCATTAGGATTAAATTCAAAAAGAGAATGATTCTCATTTGAAAATTATATTTTAAATATTTATGTAGATATTAAATTACTTGTTAGAAGTAGACACTATAAATCTGGAGACCGGACTAAACTTTATATATGTTTATACTAGCGGTCGCCCGCAACTTAGCGCGGAAATAAAAATAAAAATAATAGTAGCCTATGTGTTCGTTCAGACTATGTTTTATATGTATGCCAAATTTAATCGAGATCCGTTCAGCCGTTCTGGAGATACTTTCAAACAAACATCTATTCATCCATCTAAA